ATGTAACAATCATAATTATTACGCACTACTAATGAGTTCCCAAACTGAATGACATACCATCATAATCCTTAATATCGTTTCGGTCACAGTTTGTTGTCATCCTTGCTTACTTTCCATTACCCCTATTCTTATAACAAATTGAATTCATTTGTGCTGGATATCTATTGAAAACATGAAAACAAATTGAATCTATTCAAAATTATGGACAGAAAAAACATGGAATTGAAAATAAAAAATGGATATATTCTTGCATTTACTTTCCTCTCTCCCACTATAGGCCCTACTATTAAAGTGTTATATGCCTGATAGTGTATATACATCAGTACCTCGAGGACAATGTGTTCCTTCAAATGCATGAGTATATGGCTGGCCTGCAAAATACTTCCTCCGTTTCATATTTTAAGTTATTTGACTTTTGTCCCAGTCAAACCTCTTTAAGTTTGATCAAGTTTATAGAAAAATACAGTAGCATTTTCAACACAAAACAAACAGATTATCAACATATATTCAATGTGAGATATAAAGAAACTAATTTGATATTTAGATGTTGCTAAATATTTCTATAAATTTAGACAAACATAACAAAGTTTGACTAAGACAAAAAGACAAACGACTTATAATATGAAATGGAGTGAGTAGAAGTGATGTTGAAAAGTTGATACACTATAGCGCTATACGAATGTCATAACGGCATAATAGAATTTCCTGACAATTGTTCTTTCTCTGAATAAGAACAAATATGCTGAAACTATTCATTGGAAAAAGACACATCATCTCATTACAAATTTCGTACTGAATTACCAAAGAACACATGAAGTGAAAACTGTAGGGATCGATACTAATAATCCATAGAAGAAAGTGAAATAGGCACATAAGAAATATGACTGCAGAAAAGGTAGTCATGCAAACATTCGTTTCCCAAAAGCTATACTGTCACTTATATTTTATAAACAATAAAAATGATGACTTCGGATAAGGGGCCCGAACCTGTATAAAGATCCTTGTCTCCGTCTCTTTTACATCAATCTCGCATATATCCCGACACCAACGATCCCCATACTCTACAAATACCGTAGTCGTGATCTACTCCGTCGACAGTGGCGCTCCAGGTAGGGAGTTTTGGTGTTTCAAGGTTTCAATGAGATGGGTTTCAAGAAGACAGATTTGCCGACGACATACAACTCGACGACTTCGGCTATAGGGTGATACAACTCGATGAGGACCCTCGCCATCTCAAGCTTTGTCAAGTCATCGCCGCTATGGATTTTTCAATGAGGGATACTTCAATGACTTTCGCCCTGGGAGATCTGACCCAGCCAGAGTACGCTCCTCGACTAGATCAGAATCATCGTCGCCAACAATTTGATCTATTGAGATCATCCAAGGTTCAAGACAATTGGCGTACCAGAAGATTTCAAATATATATGATGTTGAACAAGTACGCAACAAGGTAATTAGTAGATTGGTTTTTTAAATTAATCCAATAATTTCGTATATACATCCGGCGTATTTCTACAAAGGTACGCAGTATTTTATAGGGTTAATTGGATCCATACCACTACAAATATGTCATTTTAGATAAATGCTACTACTATTCACGATATAGGCTACGTGCCACTGGAATTTGGGAAATTGGAACCATGCCACTTCGTCGCATTTTCCGTTGGAACCCTAGACATGGGACCCACGTGTTAGTCCCATCTTCCTTCATCCTCACTCTTCTTTCTTCCTCACGTGCAATTGAGGCTAATGGAGATTTTTGACGGAAAACGCGACGGAGTGGCACAGCTCCAATTTCCCCAAATTCCAATGGCACGTAGCCAATATCGTGAATAGTAGTGGCATTTATCTAAAATGACATATTTGTACCTAATTTTCAAATCCATACAATATTGTCAAATCTGTAATTTATTATGTTTAACTAGAGCATGCTTTCGTATAAAACATGCTTGTTTACGGTTTACATAGTACCCAATATTTAATCTGAATCTGTTGTTATATCCTGATAATAATAAAAGATTTATATAGTTTTTTAGTACATGCTCGATATTCTGTACTATATATCTTGCCTTTTAGAAAATATTTTTCAGGAATAATCGAGTTCTTGAGTAGGCAGTGATCAGGTACAACGTCATTATCGAGAACGTTCTCAAACAAATGCAGAGTTATCGGACCAAACCTACCAACGAAGACCGACGACCTATCTCACATATAGATGTCTGGACTATGTGAGATAAGGTTGTTACGGACAATCCCCTCATGAACGTTGTTGACTTGATCACCCGCGTGATTGCAAGCAGACGTCCGATATGCTACAAGTTGGGTATGTGAGTCATGCTGGCCATATGAGTTGCACATGTAATAACCAACTTTAGCACCCCTAAGAGTGGTCGAGGTATGACTACACATCTGGTTTGAGTACATACGTTGTAGCGATCCCACCATCTCTCAGAGTTCTCTACGAGTGGTTGAGGTACGACTGCACACCTGGTCTGAGTACAGGTGTTGTAGCGATCCCATCATCTCTCCGAGTTCTCTATGAGTTGGTACGACTACAAACTTGGTTTGAGTACAGGTGTTGTAGCGATCCCACCATCTCTCTAAGTTTTCTACGAGTGGTCGAGGTACGACTACACATCTGGTCTGAGTACAGGCGTTGTAGCGATCCCACCATCTCTTCGAGTTCTCTACGAGTGGAGGTACGACCACACACCCAGCTTGAGTACATGTGTTGTACCGATCCCACCATCTCTCCGAGTTCTCTACGAGTGGTCGAGGTACGACTACATACCTCATACCTGGTCCTCGACCAACAGTTGTAGCGATTCTCCCACCACATCTACGAGTGGTTGAGTATGTCAACATACCTTGTCCTCGACCATCGGTTGTAGCGATTCTCCCACCACATTTACGAGTGGTTGAGTATGTTTACATACCTGGTCCCTGACCAGCGATTGTAGCGATTCTCCCACCACATCTACGAGTAGTTACATAACTGGTTATTCACCAGCGTGGTAGCAACCTCATCACTCATGTGCATCAATCTCTGTAAGTGTTTATACATATAAAATTTCAATATTTGTCCATTGATCCCTGTCCTTTAAAACCATTGCCTTGTCTCGAAGTCAATCCTATTGTCCTTTTACACTAATCTGACAAGCCTTCGAGATCCCACGGACCTCAGCTGGGGACACTCAGAGCTGATAAGGCCTTATCAGGCACTGCAGGGCTAAATGACCATGTCAGAATCAGTCATGTTAGAGTGCTCTATGGAACCGTATTAACTAAGCCGTGTAATCGGGAATTGATTTTTCCAACTACATGGCTAGGGACTAGGAATTCATAGCTTGAGTTTCGTCTGTTATAAGATTTAATATGTCTTTGTGGAAAAATGACTTTTCCATAAAGACAGCTAGGGGCTAGGAGGGGTATCATACTCCAATTGATGTTGGCGGCTGTTAAATGCTAATTTTATGCCGCCAATACTTGCGTAAAACAGAGATTATAAAACATCCAACATAGTGATAGGGTTTAAATCTAACAAATTTCACAAGCGTTGGTGTATATTTGATGCAAGTAATAAACCGCTGAAGTTGGGAGGAAATCTACACTAAAGTGAAGAAGAATTCCATCCATAAAAGAATTGGACTCACAACCTCATCGAAACATCATAAATTGAGCCCAACAAATACACAAATGGATGCAGAAAGTAGATGAGGAGGTCCAGGAGAAAGCCCACGGGCTGAGGCGCCAGCTAGGGTTCGGCCAAACCCCAATCTAGGCCGTTGATCCTCAGCTTTCATGTGGACGTCTAGGATCACCTCCCAATGATGGTTGCAGGGCATTTTTCACCTTTCCAATTACCATAACCATTATTGGGAGGCTATAAAATGAGCTCTCATCCTCCACCCGCCCACACCCAAGCAAGAGTTGAATTATAAGAGGCTCTTTTATATTTTTAAGTACACTACACTAGATTAGGAAGAGATTGTATAATTTAGAGGTGAAGATTTCTGGTATTGGGGTTTAGGGATGTTAAATAAACTCGACGTAAAGTTGAGGGATGGCAAGTAAACTTATTCCTTTTAACAATTGCAAAACCTGGAGGGTGGTGGATGGGTTGGACGAGGGCAACGGCCCAGCTGATGCGGGTGTCGGCGGTGGTTGAGCTAAACGAGGGTGTCGGCCGGGTGGACAAGGGTGGCAGCCCGACGAACGCGGGCGAGAGCAGCGACCTTGGCAGATGCAAGAAGCAGCGAGGGTTGCTTCTCCTCGCCTCTACACCTTAAAGGTACATAGCCAAAGTACATATTAAATCCGACCTGTACACCTTTGTGGGGTGTACACAGACAAACAAAGTCACGGGTACAGAAGACTAAGCTTCCATTCTTCTTCTAAAATTCCAACCAAAAGTAGAGTAATTCTTCTTTGGTCTCATCTTGGACCAACCCATCATGGCAAAGCTGATCCATCTGATCCGACCCCAACCAAACTAAATTCAAATCCATATATCCATCCAGATTAAAGCTCAAATTGCAAATACTGGCTATTTAACGCCGGTTGTAGACAGTAACAGTGGCATGAGATGATGGAAAAAGCGGTTTTGATCTACCGTTTCAACCGAACAGTTGGACATGTTTTGGGTGGAAGAACCAACTTCGCGATGCTGAGATTACTATGTTGTTGTTCCCTCTTCTTGTGTTCATAAAATCTATAAAAGGAAGGCTTAATTAGCTGGTTTCTCTATTACTAACACCCGGTTTATACTTCACTTAACACAGCTGATCATTGTTAATCAACAGTAATTAATCATGTCATCTAATGCTCCCTGTTTACTACTATGTGCTCTGCTTCTTCTTCTTCTTCTTCCTCGCCATGGCAGCTCCGACCTCGGAGGTGCACCTCTACGGAGAAGGCACATCGTCCTCCGATCAACCCAGCCTTCTTCGCCGTCGACATCGCCGTGCTCATCACCCTCAGTTCCTTCGGATGCCAACACCATGCCACTGGTGCACCGGCGCGGCATCCGTTCTGCGTTCGGTGGCGCGCGGAGCGACGAGAACGGCGGGCAGCCGACCGCCGACGAGGCGTTCGACCGTGATGCTGTCCGCCTCCGTTCTCTCTTCGCCGTGCCGCGGCAGCTGGGCGGTGTGGAGGCGGGTGGTGGTGCCCCCACACCTGCTCCGGCGGCGGCGGCGGGTGGTGGTGTGACGGTTACTCCCATGGTGGCGCCCATCTCGGTGGCTCCTGGCGCGCTGGAGTACCGAGTCCTCGCCGGGTACGGCGCCCCGGCGCAGCGGTTCCCCGTGGCGTTCGACACCAACTTCGGCGTCTCGGTGCTCCGGTGCAAGCCGTGCGTCGGCGGCGCGCCGTGCGACCCGGCGTTCGAGCCGTCCCGTTCGTCCTCCTTCGCCGCCATACCGTGCGGCTCGCCGGAATGCGCGGTAGAGTGCACGGGAGCGAGCTGCCCGTTCACTATCCAGTTCGGGAACGTCACCGTCGCCAATGGCACGTTGGTCAGGGACACCCTCACGCTGCCCCCGTCGGCGACCTTCGCCGGCTTCACGTTCGGATGCATCGAGGTCGGCGCCGACGCCGACACGTTCGACGGCGCCGTCGGGCTGATCGACCTCAGCCGGAGCAGCCACTCGCTGGCGTCGCGAGTGATCTCAAACGGCGCCACCACCAGCGCCGCCGCCTTCTCCTACTGCCTCCCCTCGTCGTCGGCGACGAGCTCCCGCGGCTTCCTCTCCATCGGCGCCAGCCGGCCAGAGTACTCCGGCGGCGACATCAAGTACGCGCCCATGTCGAGCAACCCCAACCACCCAAACTCCTACTTCGTCGACCTCGTCGGGATCAGCGTCGGCGGCGAGGACCTCCCCGTCCCGCCCGCCGTGTTCGCCGCCCACGGCACGCTGCTGGAGGCGGCGACGGAGTTCACCTTCCTCGCCCCGGCGGCCTACGCGGCGCTGCGCGACGCGTTCAGGAAGGACATGGCACCCTACCCGGCGGCGCCGCCGTTCCGCGTGCTCGACACGTGCTACAACCTCACCGGGCTAGCCAGCCTCGCCGTGCCGGCCGTCGCGCTCAGGTTCGCCGGAGGAACGGAGCTGGAGCTCGACGTGCGGCAGATGATGTACTTCGCGGATCCGTCGAGCGTGTTCTCCTCCGTCGCGTGCCTCGCGTTCGCCGCCGCGCCGCTCCCGGCATTCCCGGTGTCGGTCATCGGAACCCTGGCGCAGCGATCGACGGAGGTGGTGTACGACCTGCGGGGCGGCAGGGTCGGGTTCATCCCCGGGCGATGCTGATGAATCGTGGGGTAGCTCATTTGATGGGTCATTTCGCCGAACACTTGTTTGTATGTGTTGGCGCAATGTAGTAAGGCTCGGTTACAACCGAACAGGTCACAGTAAATCACATGCTCCGATTATTCCACAGTTTACCATGCTCGAATAAACTAAGAGAATACATCCAAGTTTCGCTCTACAAGTAAATTTGTTTCCCAATTACATGGAAAATACATAGTACTACTTTCAGCAAGAGAATTTTTTTTTCCTCGAGGGATGACCCGTCTCTTGCGGATCATCCAAATAGTTATAAATATATTTTTTAAAAAAATAATAATATAAATTAATGTCTACTAAACAAATACGCAAAATAAATTTTAATTTCTACAAGGTGTAATAATGTTGAACAAACTAAATGTATGCATATATTCACAGTTATATTTGTTATAACTTATCGAAGTGAAATTTAATTTGTATAAATTTAATTTATATTTATATAAAGTGATATATCACATATTAATCCACCTTATCGTTTATTTTTCATAAGAAATAGGGAAACATGCTCTCTAAGAAAAAAAAAGATAATGCGATTCCTGCCAAATTAGTATCCAAACAACAATATGAATCGATTAATCACTATGAATTCTTTTTGAACCAAAAGTGATAAGGATGCGAAATGGCCTGCAGCCTAGTGGTTACAAGAGCCTTAGTAGCACCTTAGGTCCTGGGTTTGACTCTTTATGGAAGCGAATTTTAAAGAATTTATCGGCATTGTGCTTTCAGTGATAGGCGATGTACCCATCGACAGTGAGGCGCCTGTGGTAACTTTGTCAATCTCGACGATTTGCCGGCCCAGTCTTCAAAGATGTTCATAGGGGTATGGTTTGTGTGCGTGTATTCATAGGGTGAGTGTGCGTACATTATGAGTGTCTGTGTTGTACTGTGTAATTCTAAAAAAAAAAGTGATAATAGACCTTAAAAAAAACCAACTGCTAAAAGGGTTCATATAGGCTTTTTACACGTACGGATAGTGATATTCAGTATGATTGCTGGTTTTTTTTTTAAAAAAAACCGGCAGTAAAAAATGACAGAGTATTTAGATAGCGCAAACTGAAGGTAGCTTCTCGATGTATGTTCATAGAGTTCGTTCCCGCCAGCCACTGACTCAATGAAGAATTGGATTGAGGTCCATGACTATTTCTCATTGTACAACCTGCCGGCTATATAATTACACTGCTTCTCTTCTCCAAACGCTGTACAGCCAAAGGTAAACTTCCATTGCTAATTTGGCCCCAACTTACAGGCTACCGCATTGGTGGCAACGTCCTTCGCAATGTAAAACGAAACCATCATCCATTGGTAGCATTCAACCTTGTACCTTCCTACTGGGCTATAACTATAAGTAGGCTCATAGAGAGATCTATCCTCAATCCTCATCATAGTACTCCTAGATTAATTAGCTTCGATCCCAAACTCCATTCAAGCATGGCTTCAGCCATTGCCTCCTCCATCTTCCTTTGCCTCCTTCTTCTTCTTCTTCCTCACCTCGGCTATTCATACCACACCAGCCGCTACACTCGAGGGTCCACGCATTTCGTCGTTCGCCGCTCCGATGACCTTCCACGGGCCTCGGCGCCGCCGGTGTCCTGCTCGCCTATCCCTTCCGGTAAAGCATTACTTGTCTCCTCCATGCTCAGTTCATTAATACTCACTCCGTTTCTAAATATTTGACACCGTTGATTTTTTAGCACATATTTGACCGTTTGTCTTATTCAAAAATTGTTGTGAAATATGTAAAACTATATGTATATATATAAGTATATTTAACAATGAATCAAATGATAGGAAAAGAATTTATAATAACTTATATTTTTTTTGAATAAGATGAACGGTCAAACATATTTAAAAAAATCAACGGCGTCAAATATTTAGAAATAGAGGGAGTAAATATTTAGAAATTGAGGGAGTACTTACTTCCGTGGTCATATACTCATATGTATTTATTGTTTAGGATAAGATTCGATCCAACGTTTAAAATTTATTGTTTAAAATTTTAAACACACAAAATTCCTCGAATGCCTAGTTTAAAAGAAAAGAAATGACATGTATATTTGCCTATATACAAGATGCTATCGTAATACCATAAATTTATGGGATTTTACAAACTTATTATAACATAAATGGATGGTCGAAATCTAAAAACTTTGGCTGAGTCATCCTAACCGTCAAATATTTTGACCAAAGGGAGCAGTAGTACAATTCATAGTTGCAAAACGTATATGCAGGTGCGAGTAATGGCAAGAAGCTACCTGTGCTGCACCGGCTGAATCCATGCTCCCCTCTCAATGCCGGAGGGAAGCAGAGCACCACGTCGTCGGTGGACGTCTCCCACCGCGCCGGCCGCCGTCTCCGCTCCCTGTTCGCCGCCGTCCAGTCCGGCGACGACGCAGCGCCAGCCCCTGCGCCTGCTGCTGCATCGGGCGGCGTCACCATCCCCACCACCGGCACCCCCGAGCCCGGTGCGCCCGGCTTCCACGACTACACCGTCGTCGTCGGCTACGGCACGCCGGCGCAGCAGCTCGCCATGGCGTTCGACACCGGCCTCGGCATCTCCCTGGTGCGGTGCGCGGCGTGCCGCCCCGGGGCGCCCTGCGACGGCCTGGCGTCGTTCGACCCCTCCCGGTCGTCGACGTTCGCCCCCGTGCCGTGCGGCTCGCCGGACTGCCGGAGCGGCTGCTCGTCAGGGTCGACGCCGTCGTGTCCCCTCACGTCATTCCCGTTCTTGTCCGGCGCCGTGGCTCAGGACGTGCTCACGCTCACGCCGTCGGCGAGCGTCGACGACTTCACGTTCGGCTGCGTCGAGGGCTCCAGCGGCGAGCCCTTGGGCGCCGCCGGGCTGCTCGACCTCAGCCGGGACAGCCGGTCGGTGGCATCACGGCTCGCCGCCGACGCCGGTGGCACATTCTCCTACTGCCTGCCGCTCTCCACGACCTCCTCCCACGGCTTCCTCGCCATTGGCGAAGCCGACGTGCCCCACAACCGCACTGCTCGCGTGACGGCGGTGGCGCCGCTGGTGTACGACCCAGCCTTCCCTAACCATTACGTCATTGACCTCGCCGGCGTGAGCCTCGGCGGCCGCGACATCCCGATCCCGCCCCACGCCGCCACCGCGTCCGCCGCCATGGTCCTCGACACGGCGCTGCCATACACCTACATGAAGCCGTCCATGTACGCGCCCCTCCGCGACGCGTTCCGGCGCGCCATGGCGCGGTACCCGCGTGCGCCGGCGATGGGCGACCTGGACACGTGCTACAACTTCACCGGGGTGCGGCACGAGGTGCTGATACCGCTCGTCCACCTCACGTTCCGCGGGATCGGCGGCGGCGGCGGCGGCCAGGTCCTGGGTCTCGGCGCGGACCAGATGTTCTACATGTCGGAGCCCGGCAACTTCTTCTCGGTGACGTGCCTGGCGTTCGCGGCGCTGCCGTCCGACGGCGACGCGGAGGCGCCGTTGGCGATGGTGATGGGGACGCTGGCGCAGTCGTCGATGGAGGTGGTGCACGACGTGCCGGGAGGGAAGATCGGGTTCATTCCGGGGAGCTGCTGATCGATTTGGTGATCGATCGATGGATTCATACTTCAGTTTCGTCGCGATTTCTTTGATGTATTGCTGTCTTCGTTCATGCACGCGTACGTGCGCACCCATATATGCGCGTGCACAATAAGGCTCGATCGATAACGAATAGAGCCATCGTTCTCATTTTGCTTTGATTTCCTTGCAAGTTTGATATTGTAGCATTATTCTCCGAAGTTAACAGTTTCGACAACGGACATTGTTTATTTAGTGCATCGAGGGCTTGTTTTTGGATTGAAGCAGATTTTGCCCTATGAAAATTTTGACAACTTCAACACTACCTAACGCATGTTTGCTTTGTTACCAATTTTTGTCCACATTTGTTCATTTTCTATAGGTACCTATCAAATTTTTGGTAGGATAAAAATTAACTCTAAACCAAATATACTCTAAATTAGTATCAAAAGGTTACCTCAGCTAGATTTGAGCTCTTGTTCCGTCTATCAGCAAACTGTCTGTGAGAAAATATTCAATAAGTCAGAGATTATTTTTTGGAGATCTAAATATTATGCAACCCCCTGCTACAGAGTAATCCAACGGGGTTACATAATCTATAGAACAAAGTGAAGATACAAGATATAGGGTGGGACTTCTCTTCTCATTCATCATTCTGTCATCCTCAACCACAAGTGTACAAATGAGCAGCCCCCCTCCTCTTTGTATAGCCACCTTGAATAGATGGAAGGTTTAGGTGTGGGCCCAATTAGTATATACATGGAAGATTTCCATATTGCTTGTATGGAAGATTTCCTAACACTCCCCCTTGTGTACTCACCGCGTGATGTCTATGCATCATCAAAACTCCAGTAAAAACCCAGTGGGAAAAATTTGGAGAAAGAGTACATAGCATACGCTTACAATGTCGCACGGATTGCCTCGTTAAAAACCTTGATAAGAAACTGTTGGGAAAACTTATCCAAGGGAAAAAGAGTACAATCCACCCAATTCTTCGTTCAATCTTTCTAGATTGATTTTGGGTATTTGATTTTCTACATCAAGATTCTGAAATGAGTCAGCGAAATTCTCCCCCTGAATTTTGCATTTATCTAAATCTCATTATTCCGATTTCTCGAGCACACATATTCAAGAGAAGATGTAAATAATGAGTCAGTGGATGAATCTACAAGACTTGCACATGACTTAGTTCATTGCTTCTATGTAATTCATGTACATAGAAGAGATTGGGGTTCATGTGCTTAGTGAGTTTGCTTCTCACGTAACTCATTTGTATATGTTCGACATATGCTGCTTAAATTTCATAAATAGTCGGGGTTTGAAATAGTTTTCAAATCATGATTTCTATCGCGGGTAACTGTTGGCGGTTGTTAAAAGCCAATCTCATACCGCCAACATCTGCATAAAGTTTAGATAATAAAACATCCAACATAGTGATAGGTGCTTAATCTCACATATTCCACAAGTGTTGGTGTATATTTGTATGCAGGTGATAAACCCCGATGTTGGGAGGAAATCTAGACTAAAGTGAGGAGAAATATGTATCTCTACAAGGATGGGTTGTAAACTTCATCAAAACATCAGTGAATCAACCCAAAACTCCGAGAAATGGATAGAGGAAGGTCTAAGGAGTCCACCGACCGAAGGCCAGGCCAGGAGGGCCTAGCCCAGGTTTGACCGAACCCCCTGGTTCGGCCGAACCCCCCTGATCACCGTTGATCCTGGGGTTTGGCGTGGACACTCCAGATCACTCCCTGATGGCGCTTGCGGGGTACTTCGGACATTTCCCTTTCGCCAACCTTCATACCTACCTCTATATAAAGGCTTCACTTCCTCACTGCATACACACACTTCCAAGCTTGAGCTGAATTATAAGAGGCTCTATTGTACTATATTGTATACTAGAATAGGAAGAGAGTAGAGTAGAAGAAGTCAGAAGAATTCCAGTGTTGTCAGTAATCTTCTCCTATTTTTTTATTCTGTTTATTATTTTGAATTTAATATAATATTCTTCTTGAGTAATTTAGATTTATCTTGTGAGAATTATCTCCTAAATAGCATACGGGATTATTGTTCACTATAATCAACTAAACTATAGTGATTGCTTTAGTGAGTTATAAACACTAAAGTAGATAGTAATTCCTTAGACGTGGTGTTTAGGTAATTATTATCCAGTAATTGTTGCGTATCCCACAGTACGTTTAAGGTAGGTGTAGAGGTGGTGACAGCTCTCGAGATCACTTAAGTCCTCCCTGTCCGGGTACATAGTAGAGCGACATCTGGGAACAGCGGGTTGCCAGTGCCTGAAGTATTGCGTTAGGATTAAAGTTAAGCTTTCCCTAGACACTGTTTCTCACTAGTAAATCCTCTCTATCCTGGCCTATCATTTGCTTGGTGTCCTTGGATGAACCGGAGGAAGATCTGATCACACACGTTCCCTTGGATTCGATACCCTTGGAATACTCCGTAGGGGAAGTGCTACATCGGTATATCCGTGCGCTTGCGGATTTTATCTGTAACCGTATTAAATACCAACAGTAGCCATCTCTCAAAACCATGCCGAGGCTCTAAATAGTTCAACGATGCTTAGTTTGGTTTAGTTCAATTAGCCAAGTATTCATGTGCTGCTATGACACACTTGTGTTTGGGAATTCCGTCCCATTTTGGCGATAATTGACTATTCCAAAGCTATACACCATGAACATTTTTAAGTGCAATTGAACTGATGTACTAGGTTTCCATCTGTCGCATGCCTTTAGCTGCAAGCGTAAGCATGATTTGGATTCGGCCAAATATTTCAAATCAAACTCAAATTCAAAACAAACGAGTTTGTTTCTTCAATTCTTTTCTGGTTTATTCTATTCTTTCCATGTTGGTTCGTGACCTAGTACTTCTTCATGTACTATTATGCAAATGTCCGATCCAAGCTACTTAAATGCATTCAATGATTCTACCTTCAATGCTTATCAACATTCAGGTTGAGTTCTTCTTTTCAACTTCTAGTTCATTAATTCCATTCAACTCTTGGTTGACTGCCAGTGAGTTTTGTTGTCTAAAAGAGACAATGCCCATAATAGATCTCATTGCCAACTTCTATTGGTTGCATTAGACTCTATGCGAGTATCCATGGATATATGAGGAGATGCATTTTCATATGCTTCTTCTTCTTATTGCTTAATACTTCGTATCGTGGGCATGTACCAGCGTTAGTGTGCACTCCAATAGCTGATTTTCTTCCTTGATGGGAAGGTGCGATACGCCTATTATGAGGTTCTGTACCGTTTGCCAGATCTCAACTGGCTCCTCTTCTACTCGGTGGGGTACTTTTTGTGACTTTGAGTATGATAATCCCTCTTGCCCTGTTTTCTTTTCACCAAACTTCTCCGATTACTTTAGGGGCGTGAGGGGCTAGAGTTTCTTGTCCAATTCTTTTTGTTGGAGGCCTCTGGACAAGACGAGGGATACCTTTACTTTCTTCGGTATTTCACCCTCCTCCGGTGCATTTCATTTATGCAACTTAGTCAAACTCTTCAAAATCACAAAAGTATTTGCAAAGTGATTTGGCAGTTTCAGTTTTTTCTACATGCTTTTGTTACTTAGTTTGCATTCACTAGTGCGGTGTAACATGCATTTGTCTATTTCTACTATCATATTTCCTGACATTTCCTATCTAGGGGTTCATTCTCTCCCCCTAAATGACTGGAAATAATTCTTATTATGTCAAGGAATTTAGGCTTCACAAGTATCTCCGATTAAAATTCCTGACTTTCGGAGAGAGCCTTTGCAATGCATTATGATAGTGGGATATGCACATAAACTAAGTAGATGCAATTGCACTAGTTGCAGGGTGGATGTTCATGCCAATGGTCGCTGCTTTGAGGACAACATATCCTTTTCTATTGTGGGTATTACAACAATGACATAGCAAATATTGCAATTCATAGCTTATACTTAGTCCGTTCATGCGGATATTTGGAACTTCGTGCTGCCAATTCACCAATCATCAAATGCAATGTTGGCATTGTCCTCGCGGACTTCTAAAGATGATTTAGTGAGTTCCATTGGTGTTCACGTGATCTTGCTGGATCAATCTTGGCAAAGACACGGTGTCTAAGAGACACTGAATGTTCGCTGCTTCGGAAGTGCATCTATCCATATAGTACCAAATGGGACTGCAGATATTCCTCGCAATCCAGTTCAGGGATGCTGGAACTATATGCGGTTTATGCATTAATCTCCCGTCGGTGCATACTGGCACACAAATCTTCATGATTTAGGAAAATTATGCATATATGTGCTATGATCATACGAGTTGTAATGTTTTTCCTTATAATTCTAAGACCGAAATGGCTGAAAAACCGTTGCTAAAAGGTATAGCCCAAATCATCACACTTTTTAGAGAGATTCAATGGGGTTGACGGGCAATAGATGCTTCTATAAAGTGCACTTTCCAGGCCAACAAGTTCAATTGTTGCTACTAGCAATGGTCATAATATTTCCAGTTCTATGAGTCTGGAAATAGCTCTTTTTCTTAAAGTGTTATTTGTGGCTATGCGGACCACAATTCATTTTTTTTCTTTTATGTTTGGGCGCTACACAAAATTCAAAGCATTGTAACTATGTGCTAGAAAAAAAAGCAACAAAATAGTAAATGCCTTAAATATGCTATTTTATACAGGAAATAATACTTTGTCGCAGGGGAAAATGTGTGCTCTACGTGGGCAAAGACCATTTATTCAGTCCAATATTCTATTTCACAATTGCAACAAGTGATGACGAAGTATATTGATTCAACGAAGTATTCCTGTTACATCGCATTCAATTAACTTCATAGCGAGCTTCTTGCTTAGAAGCTATGGCAATGTTTTTCTATTCCGACATAAATTTCAGGGTCGATCCAGTCTAGCATAGGAGATTCCACGTCCATAGCCATGCAAGTAGGTTAGGAGTTCTCCCCCTCAATTCATGATGGGGTGCTTTTTAGGATCGTCCTTTTCTTTTCGTATTCATGAGTGTGTGGTTCTAGCTTGTTCACCTTGACCCCCGTTCTACTCCCCCTTTCCTCTTATTTCATTGAGGTAAGTGCACCAGGCTAACTGTTCGTGTTGAATTCATTATCAACTATGCTAGATGGCTTTGGGAAGACAATGTTCTTCTAGTAAACACTATCCAGAACGATACGCAATTCTATTATCAACTAGTTAGGCATACTTCTTGTATGTGCACTAGTGATGCTTGCGTGCGACTTTAGTCGCGTTCAGGTAGAACACCAAGAGTTTCCACAGTATTTGGTGCAAATTCGGTGCACTGTATTACCGTACTCTT